TGTTCAAAAACCCAGCTGCTGCCTAATTTATGAATTGTAATTATTATCATTATTTATTAAGTGAAAAAGATCAAATGTTGGTCTTGCCACCAGCTGTGAGCAGATACGTTTTGCCCCAATGAGCCTGTTGAGCAGTTTGGAGCTAAAAACCCTGATGGGGCTAAGAGCTGGCTGGCCCTGGGGGCCACACCACTCTTCCCTGTGAGCGAAGGGAAGCCAACCAAGACGGGAGTGCATGACAGCTGGAGAGTCCCTGTGATATTTAAACCAAATGGAAACAAAGTGACAAAATCCCCTATGCACAACAGCCTGTTATAGGCATAAAATACTTCTCAACACACCTGGGGGCTCTGTGGATCCAGCGGCGGGGGCAGGCTGAGCTGTGAAGCAAAAATGCTCCTCACCAGTGCGTTGCTCAGCGGTGGCAGCCCGTGGCACGAGCCATCTGTGACAGACTGGCCGGCAGGAGCATTCCCAGCTGTCAGAAACGTTCTACCAGAGAATGGAGGGAATCTCATGAAAAGCAGTTACGTAAGCTTCTAATACTCAAAACTTTCTTCACTTACGTTAGCAAGATGAGAGACATTAACAGGTTTCTTCCTCAGTGACCTCATCCCTCACCCTTTCTTTACACATCACCCTTTGCTCCCACAATTCACAGCTCTCAAGCAGAAGGTAGCAATGACCAATAGAACTCCCTAAATGCGGAAATGTTCTGTGTTTTACTGTCCAAGATGGTAACCACTAGCCATATGTAGCTGGTGAGCACTTGAAATGTGGCTAGTGCAACTGAGGAATTGAATTTTAAATGTTATTTAATCTAAATCAATATTAATTTAAAGTTTTACATTGAATAGCCACATGTGGCTACTATATAGGACAGTTCACTTGTTGCTCTAGAACAATAATATTGATTGCTTGTTGAATTGATTATTTTAAGACCAATAGCTGAGACAACAATTCTTGACATGTAAAATCAAATTTTACATTAAATAATAAGAACCTGGGGTTTGAAAGAGAAAGATTTTTGTTTTGTTTTCAACAAAACTTGGCTTTGCTTATCAAGAACCATAAATTCTAAAGACTAGAGGATAAAATTTATACCCTATGCTGTAGAGAAGGAAGTATGCTTGATACATTATAATGACTTTCTTGCTCAAAAGGAAAAAAGAGTTTAGCAAAAAAGAAAAGACTGTTTCTAGAGCTGATCTAGTGGATGCCCAAGAAAAGATCCTGACAAAGGACACACAAGGATGGGGAGGGGTCAGAGGGAAGCGGGGGTGTCCCAGAACAGAAGGGACCTTTTGCCTGGGTCCCCCGTGGGCTTGGACCAAGTCTTATATAGAGCAGACATAAAGAAGAAGGAGATTAGCATGCCTACGGGAGATGTTAGCACTTTGGAAAAGGAGGCAGCCACCCGAGACCAGCAGACAAAGTGTGGAGGAGTGCCTGAGCCCCCACAAATTGGTGTCTAGGCAGGGTGCTGAGCAGTAGGCCAACCAGAAGAGGTCTGGGGTTGGACCAGCTAACCAACAACAGAGATGGGTGAGGTTGGCCACTTCTCCCTGACTACCAGGATGATTTAGAAGCACCACCAGGAACTTGGGTCACCTCTGAGAGGAATGAAGGAGGAGACAGGTGTGGTGTGAGGCCTAAAATTAAGGTCCAATATTATATGCTGCCTTGGCATCAGGTAAAGTCAGGAGGGCCTTGAATAGCCTAATCACAAGTTCCCCTCCCCAACTCCGACCGCACAGGGGCCAAGTGCAGTCCCTGCTTATTTCTGAGTAGTGGTTTCCATTCTCTGTGTGGACAAAAAAGGGGTGCTGTAATAAGTCACAATTCCTAACTGGGCAGGTCATGGTGGGTAGTCATGCCCCAGGCCAATATATATTTAAATTGATTTTAAAGAGAGAGGGAGAGAAACATCAATAAGCTGCCTCCTGCACACACCCCACTGGTGATTGAGCCCATAACCCTGGCAACATTTTGGTGCATGGGACGACACCCAACCAACTGATCCATACCAGCCAGGGCTATAATTTCTTTAGAGAAGGTTTTTAAGCCAGCTCTGTCCATTGTTCTTGTGCATCTAGGCCAGTGGTTCTCAACCTTCCTAATGCCGCGACCCTTTAATACAGTTTTTCATGTTGGGGTGACCCCCAACCATAAAATTATTTTCGTTGCTACTTCATAACTGTAATTTTGCTATTATGAATCGTAATGTAAATATCTGATATGCAGGATGTATTTTCATTGTTACAAATTGAACATAATTAAAGCATAGTGATTAATCACAAAAACAATATGTAATTATATATGTGTTTTCCAAAGGTCTTAGGCCACCCCTGTGAAAGGGTCGTTCGACCCCCAAAGGGGTCGCAACCCACAGGTTGAGAACCGCTGATCTAGGCGAACACACCTTTGAAATGCCCCCTTTCATACCCCTATTACTAAAGTGTGCAAGGGAACACAAAATCTCATTAACTATACTGCAACCCAATCCCCATCTTGCTTTCTCCCACCTTCATACAATCTTCCTTAGTTCTCTTCTTAATTTCAAATGCATAAAAGAAATGGCAAACTTTTATTTTCCAGAGCATTTGAGATCTTGTTCCCCAGCATGTGTCATCAATTCGGCTCAAATAAGTACAGGTTTGCAGGTTTCTTAGGTAGACACCCGCCAGACCACAAAATTATTTACCACAAAATTATTTAAATGAGCCAATTGTATCTATCCTCCTGTGGAAACCAGGGGACACCATGTCCTCTCGATGCACAAAGTCTGTCTCCCACAGCCCCTGGTTTTTCACTCTTCCCAAATGCAATTCCTGTGTGGCCCTGCATGGCATATAATATCCTCTTCCCCTGGTTGTGCCACAGAGAGGGAGAAACCAGGTATTAGGTGACTCTATGGGGCACTGTCCTAATGTTCTTCCCTGCCTCCCCGCAGTCTGTGGGAGCATGCTGCTCTCATTCTAGCTCAGAGTTCAGTTCTTTCTTTTCAGGCTCTGGAGAAACCTTCAGTTTACATAAGCCAAAAGTTCCCTGGAGTAAACAATCATATTTGCTCAGAGTTGGTGAGTGCTGGGAAGGGCGAGGGCACTTCCCAAGCTTCCTGTCTCTTTGATTATCTAAGGATTTTTCCTTGTTTGCAGGTTCAGCACTAAATAAAATCAGCAAGATGGATGACATTTACTGTTCAGCTTCTCTTTTCCTCCCAGCTCTGGGCTCCGAAACTCCATCAGAGTTTGCAAGAAATTTACGTAGGGTAAAAAAGCAGGCCTCAGTCCTAGAAGTTCCTTTCGGATTCCAGTGATGCAGGTTAGTAGGGGACTTCTCTTCAAATTCCCCTTTCTCTCCGTACTGCTGCCTGGCACGCACCCAGTTCTTAGGTTTTGGAGTCAAATGCACCTAGGTTCTGATTCTGGTCTGCCACTCTCTGGAATCAGCCACCTGAGTTGTTATAAATAAATGAATTTACCCCTGGCCTTGTAGGTATTACGTTCTCAGACATAGGCCACAGTGCCCTCCATTCCTGCAGACAAAGTCTGCCAGGACCAAGTAAGCCCAAAAAGGCACTTCCTGGGGGAAGGGGAATGGATCCCCTGGGAGAACCATAGCAAGCTGAACCCCACATAGCAGAAATCCCCAAAAACCTTCTGGGATATAGTCCTATTTCTTCACCCTATGTAAATTCATAGCCAATTCTGACTTGGGGTTTCAGAGCCCAGAGGGCTAATGAATGGCCATCCTGACAATTAGCCTTTAAATCCTACCTGCTGGATTAAGCTATAGCTCAGAAAGCTGTTTGTCAATAAAAAGAAAACAAATTAGTCGGATCCAGTCCCCTGATGCTTCAGTGTGGAAAAGGCAGAGTACAAAGCAAATATAGTTCAGTACAGCCCTCACACTTCCATCCTCTACGGCAGCGATTCTCAACCTGTGGGTCGCGACCTCTGAAAATACATCCTGCAGATCAGATATTTACATTATGATTCATAACAGTAGCAAAATTACAGTTGTGAAGTAGCAACGAAAATAATTTTATGGTTGGGGGTCACCACAGCATGAGGAACTGTATTAAAGGGTCGCGGCATTAGGAAGGTTGAGAGCCACAACATGGACACCACACCTCACACTTCCATCCTCCATGGACACTTCCGCTGGGGAGGGATCATGATCTGCAGGGAGGAGCACTCACTGCCTCCCGGTCTCCCTCATTGGCTAAATACTCACACAGAGAATGAATCAAAGGATGTTAATTAATTTTAACAATTTAAGAATAAGGAGAGACCCTCAGGACTGACCTCTTTCCTTTCTACACAAAACGTACTATTTATACTGGAAACATAGTGACCCTTAATCCAAACTAATTTTCTCATCAGTCATGATTAATTAACCAAATAAACATTCTTTTTATATGCAGAGTACTTAATACCTACAAGGCCAGGGTAAATTTATTTATTTATAACAACTCAGGTAGCCGATTCCATTGGCTTCAGAAGTACGGTGAAAACTCTGTTCTTTTGAAAGCTAGTTAAGGGCTGAAAACAATAAACAGAACTCTTGGAAAGGGTCATCTTCAGAAGTATAAAAAATATTATTCCCAATAAAATCATCTGAATATTGAAAGCAGCAATTGTTATGCAAACTAACTGCACTGAAATCACATTTAATAAAATCAAGAGTATTATTATCCGGCAAGAACACATTCCACACCCGTGGGCTTTGTGGCAGAACACATTTGGTAGCCACAGTGTTCTGGATAGGGCTGTGGCCCTGACTATTTTAAGTTTGTTATCCAATCTCCCTCAATGGTTACTCAGAAACATCTGCCCTGCAGAATTTACTAGACAGGATTATCGCTCCAGCCCTTACCGGGTGAGGTGCCTCACTGCCGCATCAAATTGCAGAAACATGACCTCCCTTCGGAGCAGGAGTGCCTGGGACACCTGGGTGGGGTCTTGGGGACTCTCAAGGCTGTCAATCATCTTCTGCAGCCCTTGAAGCTCAGACACTGGAAGACGGACAACATTAGGAGATAGTGTGAAATGCCAGCTACTTTAGCTAACCCAGTAAATCATCATTAACCTCCCAAAACAACTTTTTTCCTTTTCTTTCTTTGGGAGTAGCTAATTATGGTTTGGAAGTCCAGAAAAACCATATGTTCTAGAATCCAAGGTCTGTGTAGCTTTCCTTCCTTCCTTCGGAAGATAAAAACTTATTTTGCTCTTCAGCAGAATAAGGAAAGGCTTTTGATTTCTCTCTCTAGAGAAATCTCTAGATCTCTCTCTCTCTCTCTCTCTCTCTCTCTCTCTCTCTCTTTCTCTCTCTCTTGCAGTCTTTAACAAAAGGGGAAGATGTTAAATTGAGAAGAATCTCACATTATACTTTAAAATTCCCTCAAAATATAAGATAAAATTCCTTCAAATACTAAAACAAACAAACAAACCCAAAAAGACTTCTGAAAGTTTTAAAATACATAAGGATACAGTCTCTAAAAAGATTGAAAAAGACAAATTACAAGGAATAGGAAAATATGGGACTCAGTAGACTCCTTAGGGGCTTGAAATTACTATAGCCCAGCACTCATGTCTCATGGCCATGCCATCCAACCAGCCTTCTCTGTCACTGGCTCATCCTGCTGCTGGCTCTGGATTAAAGAAGACTCAAGCCGTCCAAGGCAAGCAAACAATATACACGCATAGATGTGTACATGCACACACACACACACACACACACACACACACCCTTCTAGGAGATTCTTGTCATTTAGGGAGTAGATGACAAGAGACCCCAAACTGGCTTATTTCTTGGATTCTTACTGCAAAAGTAGGCTGCATATCAGTAGATTTAATAGTATATGTGTTTTGGGTGGAGATTTAAGTTAGGGACCTTTGGGGGCACTCAATGCTCGATTGAAGAAACTGGCCTGGGTCTAGATCAGTGGTTCTCAACCTTCCTAATGCCGCGACCCTTTAATACAGTTCCTCATGTTGTGGTGACCTCCAATTTCATTGTTACAAATTGAACATAATTAAAGCACAGTGATTAATCACAAAAACAATCTGTAATTATATATGTGTTTTCCGATGGTCTTAAGCGACCCCTGTGAAAGGGTCGTTCGACCCCCAAAGGGGTCACGACCCACAGGTTGAGAACCACTGGAGATGGTCTCTGTGATGGTCCAGGAAAGGAGCTGGTCAGAAGGGGAGAGCGCAACAAGAAAAGGATGAGCTCTTAGGGAGCACAGGGGAGGGGTGTGGGTGCGGGGGTGGGGCACACTTGCTGAGATACCAGCATGCCAGCTTATCTGAACTGCCCAACAACTTCCTGTGAGGACAGGGATAGCTTTCTACTCGAGAGGCCATCCCGGCCACGGGAAAAGAAGGACCGTGGAAATGGATCGCTGTGCCTGATATGTAGCCCAAGCAGAAGTGAACTGAGAGACCCACAGCCATTTGGGGAGTTACTCCACCTCAACAGTCTGACCAGACTTGAGCAGCCTCTGCCCTGCCCGCTCTGGCACTGGATCTCCTCCCATATCCCCAAGTCAGAGGAACGGAGGGCATGGAGCAGCTGCCCTCAGAGCCAATCCGGGTGGAACCAGGACTGAGGATGGCTGCGGATACTTGCAGTGATACGCTCTTGGCTTTAGGAGTCTTACGCACAACAGAAAAATGTGTTTTGAGTATTTTTCCAGCTCCAAATGAATTCGGTTTAATCATCAAACTTTTTACGACTTCCATAAATCTGATGGTCATATTGGGCTGAAAAGGAATTTCCACCAGCAGAGGAGTCAGGTTAGAAGGAATTGTACAAGAACTTCCGCAGTGGGTGGGAGGAGGGGCGGGCCTTGAGCCGTATTTGTTCAAGGCCTGGTGTGTTTGCTCTGTAAGCAATACCCTCTAAGCAGCAACCAGGGCGAAACGTTTATAATCCTCTGCAATGACAATGAAAAAAGAATATGCAGCTGCACATGCCCTGTGATTGAAGGTCTGTTAAGCGTAAGTGTAAAGTGTATTTGGGCAGGGGCTAGAAGGGAGTAAAGATAATAAAAATATTTCACTTGTTAGAGGGACTGGATTATGGGTGATTTTCTCCTTATATTATTTCCATTGCTGTTCATATTGTGCTGTGTGTGCACTGTTACCTGATCACTTCCCAGCAAAACTGCTCCCTGGGATAGGTGGCATTTTCATGAAAATACAGGTGGGACGGACCCTTCCTTTGTTACTTATTGATTTTAGGGTCCTCATTCAGGCTTCCCTGTCTTTGTGGGGTCACACAGCCGGTGGGAGGGGAGGTGGCTGGGACTGGCTGGGAAGGCAGCCTGTCCATGAGGACAGGGCAGAGGGTTCCCTGTGGTCCTGGTGGTGGGGTTGGGAGTAAACCTGCACCTGGAAACAAATGAGCCTTTCCCCCTCCCCCTCCCCCCCACTTCCCCCAGAGGCCGGTGCGGGAAATCAGAGAGAGGAATCACAGAGGCCCTGTCTTCATGTGACTGCTCAGAGCCAGGACACCCTGTTCCTAGTTTGTCTCCAGAGTTCCTGAAGCACCAAGATTAGTGTGTAGTATCTGGGCTTTAACTGGCCTCCTAACCCTGACAAGGAAGTCGCAGTGTAACCGCCCACATTCTGATTACATCCTCTGCTTCATGCTGACTCCAAGGGGAGTTGCTGGCTTTCATGGAAGGAGGGGATTTGGCAGGGGCCGCAGAGCTGTCCACTTAGGATGCATGTCTAAGAGCTGCCTCCTCAGTCAAGCGGGAGGACCAATGCTAAAACGCAGTGTCCCTTTAAAAATATTTTATAGCATACAAGTCCACAAAAGTCATCTTACCCAACTCCAAACAGCTCTGGGATGGCTGGAAGGAATTGGGCGGGTGTATGAACAGACCATCTCATCTTTTCACCTTGGTTCTCTTTGCTTCCTCTGGGAAGCAGGCCAGGAACTGAACAGCCTAGTCTTTTTAAAAAGATCATTTTAGAGTGGGATCTTTATCTTTATCTATTTTCAGCAAAGCGGAGTATGCAAAACTTTGCACATCTTCTTGGCGCACAAATGTTTTTGTTGGCAACACGACAAGGTGTGCGCCTCTAATCCTGCACCTCAGAAAGCCCGGGCCCTACCTATGTCAATGATTTCAGTTCATAAGCATATAAATAGTATGAAACCAATTCCCTTCATTCTGCATTCTAGCTCCTCAATAATTTGGCCTCATTTCCCACCATTCCTCAGGGTCATGCCGGTGGGTTCACCAGTCTTTGGACTGGCCACGGGGAGTCCTGTCTGTTGCTTTGCCTGTGCCTTTTGCTTGCCTTGTCAGGACCATCCCTCCTGTTTTTCTCCATTGATTCAAGTGAGGACAAGTCTCCCTAGATCACCTTCCCTGCAGGCCTATAGGACCTCCTGTGCAATGACCTCCTGTGAAAACATGCTCTGGCTCTCTCTTGGCTTCTATCTCATCTTCATAAAGCACCTGTCCCCCATATCAAGGGCAGGGGCGGCATTTTTCCTGGAAATTTTTCTTCCTTTCTCCTGTCCCTCATCTGAAGCTCAGCCCCCACACCCTGGAAATATCCAGAAGCTCCCCAAAGAGAGTCTTAGCTTATTTTCTGAGTAAACCTCTATACAGCAGTTCCCGAATTAGTGAAACGAAAGGATCTAAGAGTGCTTTGGAACTTCTCTAATCTTTGCTGCTTCTATTGAAGACCTGCCAGTAGTTTTGGAAACTTGTTCTTTGGCAACAATTCTGTGCTTTCTACGGAGGCAGCACCAACCCCGCCCCACCTTCATGCTGCCTGTCCTCAGACACAGGCATGATCTTCCTCATGGATCACCGCTCACACCCTCCCCAGTGTCTCCCACCTGAATGCTTACAGATCCCTTCGGTGTTCATTAGCACAGTGTAAACCTACCTACCGGCAAGCCAGTCAGGGTCTCCACAGACGTATCTCCTTTAAGCACCGACCAGAGAGGAACAGATTCTAGTTCTATTACATTGAAGACCACTGGATTTCAGTAGGCGTATTACCTCATTTTGCTGGTACTTCTCATCCTTTAAAATCCTTAGCTACTATGTTATAATATATTGCTATTAATTTACATTTACATGAATAATGGCATAATTTAGATAGGAGTCTATTTATTAAAATAACAAGATTAGTTTCCCTGCCTCTGATAAACCCAGCTTACGAAGCATTTCAGAATTGTGTGCATTTATCTTAGGACCTAGTACGGAGCTAGAGTTCATGGCTTAGCACTGGGCAGGCAACACTAAAGCCTCAATCGTTCTCATGATGGGACCATTGGGCCACTGTGAGCTAATGAAGGGCTGTCTGCAAGCTTCCCGACGGGGAATGCTTGGCTTTCCTTGTCATATTAGCTCACAAAGGCCAGAAAGGGACAGGGAATGAAAGGGCACTAATATGTAGTGGGGCTTATACATCCTTTTAGAATTTTTACATAGATTTTAATTTACAGAACATCTCTATAAGACAGGTATCATCCCCATTTTACAGATGGACAAACAGAGACCCAGATAGTAAAGTGTCCAACTTCCAGTAACCAAGTGGCAGAGGCAGGGTAAAAACCCAGGCCTCCTCACACCTGACTTGGTGTACATACTTTGCGGTTTAACTTGGAATATTGGAATTAATCAGTTTGGAGACAGTATATAATAGGATTTCCCTTTGCCCTTATCACTGTAATGTATGAGAAAATATTTTAGTTCTGTCTTTCCAAGTATTAAGAGCTTCTATAGTAATTACTAGATGAGGAAATCATTTTATAATGTATGTGTGTATCAAGTCATCATGCTGTACACTTTAAATATTTTAAACAATTTTATTTGTCAATGATACCTGAGTAAAGCTGGAATGGGGTGGTGAGTAGAGGAAGAGTTTCACAGAATTCTAAGTGAATATTAAAAATGATTTAAATATCTTTAATCACTTACCAATGCCCTCAGTTCCTCCCCAGTCACCTCTCAAAGGGTTAGGACTTAGAGGAAATTCAAAGCATGCTGGGAAATTCCCAAGTTTAGCGAAACTGAAAAGGTAGGCCACGATGTCATGGAGAGGAGCGATCAGCTGTAGTGTTAGCTTTAAGGCTCTAAATGCTGCCTGTGGGTAAAATCAATACAAGGAAGTAAGTTTTAAGAAATTTCTAAGAAGCATATAAAATACATGAGCAACTATTAAAGATAATATATTTAAACACAAATATTTAGATACACATTTTCATAGCATAATACAGGATAATAATTACAAGATAACATCTGAAAAACAGAACAACAAACTTTCATAAACTGGGTTATATGCCTTTGGACAAGGTGACTCCTCGAATGGGGAGTTTAAAGCAGTATGTTTCTCTTTGTTTAAAGCCTTTGGTGGCCAAACATACATTAAAAAAAAGTTTGTATGACCACTGATAAATTACAAGGGTCACAAATAAACTCCTACGAGGGACCCATAGAGATTTATCAACACAGTTTAAACATATAACTAAAAAAATAAATCAAACACTGGGTCTTAAATATTAATGTCCAAGTGGAAAAAAAGTATAAAATTATGATCTAACTGAATAGGTTAGTTCTATTTTTTAATTTTTTGAGGAATCTTTATACTGTTTTCCATAATGGCTCTACCAGTACATTCCCATCCACAGTGAACAAGGGTTCTCTTTTCTCCACATCCTTGGCAACATTTGTCTCTTGTCTTTTTTTTTTTTAATTTATTGATTCTAGAGAAATAGAGGAAGAGAGAGAGAGAAGTGTTTTTCCACTTATTTGTGCATTCTTGTATGTGCCCTGACCAGAGATCAAACCTGCAACCTTGGCATCTCCAGACGATGCTCTAACCAGTTGAGCTACCGGCCCAGGTCTCTTGTCTTTTTAATAATAGCTATCCTGACAGGTGTGAGATGATATCTCATTGTGGTTTTGATTTGCATTTCTCTGAGGATTAGTGATGTTGAGCACATTTTCAGTTACCTGTTGGCTGTTTGTATGTCTTCTTTGGAAAAATGTCCGTTCAGGTCCTTTGCCCATTTTAAAATCAGATTTCTTTTTTTTTTCTATTGAATTCTATGAGCTTCTTACATATTTTAGGTATTATCCCCATATCAAATATATGGTTTGTTAATGTTCTCCCAATCCATAGATTGCCTATTCATTTTGTTGATTGTTTCCTTTGCTATGCAGAAGCTTTTTTAGTTTGATGTAGTCCTACTTGTTTATGTTCACTTTTGTTGCCTGTGCTTTTGGTGTTATATAAAAACAATCATCGCCAGGAGCTTTTCCTCTAAGAATTTTATCATTTCTGGACTTACATTCAAGTCTTTAATTCATTTCAAGTTAAAAATTAACTTGAAATTTTTGTGAGAGGTGCAAAGGTGTAAGATAGGGGCTCAGTTTCATTCTTTTGTGTGTAGAACTATCATATGATCCAGCAATCCCACTTCTGGATATACATTCAAAGGAAACAAACTCAGTATCTTGAAGAGATTGTTTACACTCCTGCATTCATTATAGCATTGCTCACAATGGCCAAGCTAAGGAAATAATCTAAGAGTTCAGTGGAAAGGTAAATAAATATTTTAAATCACACACACACACACACACACACACACACACACACACACACGCGCGCACACACACACACGAATATAAATCAGTCATAAAGAAGAAGGAAATCTGGCCACTTGCAATAGCCTAAATGAACCTGAAGGACATTATTCTAAGTGAAATAAGGCAGGCAAAGAAAGACACATGCTATATGATCTCACTCATGTGGAATCTAAAAAAAAAAAGTCGAACTTACAGAATGGTGGCTGCCACGGCGTGGGGGAAATGGGGAGATGTTGGTCAAAGGGTACAGACTTTCAGTTGTAAGATGAATAAGTTTGAGAACCAAGAGAATAGCTATTTGGGAAGCACTGATTCAGGCAAAGACCCAATATTTTTTGATTAGAGGGTAAAGGCAAGAAGCTTTCATGAGAAAGGGAAGGGGAATAATTACATGAAGAGAAGGCAAAAATGTCTGATGTTGTTAATAAATCAAGGATGAAATTTCTATAGGTGCAAATAAGCTAGGTTATTCTTTAGCTATACATGATGTTGCTAATTCTAAGAAAGTCTTTAATTTTTAGTCTAGTAGTCAGAATGTCTTCATTCCTATTAGCTTTGCAAATAATAGTTCGGACTACAATGTTGCTTTAGGCCCAGTCCAAAGGTTATATCGCTCAGTTTAAACATCCCAAAGGTTGGAGGAGTAAGATGCACAAGGGATGGCTCTGATTCCATGTTGAAGTGGCTCTATTTATATTATTTTTCCCCCAGTACTGGAGATTTTCTAAGAAAGTTGATAAATGTTCTGACCCACCCCCCTCACACACACGAAAGGCAACTATGAGGCAATGGATGTGCTAATTAACTTAATTGTGGCGATCCTTTCACAATGTGTACATATATTAAATTATCAGGTTGTACACTTGTTCTTGTTAATTGCACCTCAGTAAAGCTGAGGGGGGGAGGGGGAAGGGGGAGAAGAAAGTGTGAGAAACCTAGGTCGTGAAACAGGCTTTCACTTACAAAGAAAAATCAGACTGTTCCCCAACTGCCATTTTCCTCACTGTGCTTTATTGAGCAGATACTTATTTGAGTGCTTTATGTATGACTATATTAACTCTTTTTATGGCTGCAGCATTATACTCTATCAGCAAGTTAGGTACCTGCTACACAGAGCAGTACCTCCAACACAGGCTTGGCTGATTGCTGTGCTTAAATGTGATCTCAGCCTCTCATGAGTTTCAGGGGATCAGGGTGGTTTTTTTCTAAGGGTTTGGGAGGAAATTGAGGAATAATAAAGAATGTCAGAAATTTGAATTAGTGCTCATTAATGACCAGGGAGAAAGAGAACTCATAAAATAAGGAGGCCCAAGAGAAATGACCATATTAGAAAAAAATTGTTAAAATAAAATAACATAATAAATATAATAATATTAGGAGCTGGGAGAAGATTTCCGTTATTAAGTGTTCCTGGAAACAAACAAGAGACTTTCTCTGAAATTGATATGTTGAACCATGAGTCATGAAAAGCCAGCCAGTTTACACTCCGGTACACACACAAAAACACAAACCTTTTCTGCCAGAGTTTTGAACATAACCAGCACTTCGGAAGGATGAGGTATGAACCATAAGTTGAGGAAGACTTTCCCGTCAGCGGACAGTAGACACCGGGGCCGGGGCTGAGGACTCCTGCAGCATCAAAAGGAAGAGTGGGTGTCACAGCGGTTCTCTCTGAAGAAGCGTTGCCAGTGTGAACTATTTATACCAGCCCAGCCTGTGGTGACACACGAGCCCAGCGTCCAAGCCTGCGGGCGGCAGGCCTCCTTTTCAGGCCGCGCACAGGTGGCCACAGCTATAGATAGCTCAACAGGAAAAGAGCGGGTGGGCTGCTTTTAGCCTGAGCTGTGTTGAGGAAGGAGTGGGCATTGGGGGTGGGGTTGGGGGGGTGGAAGGTATGGTGAGACAGGAAAGGAAGGCATGAATTAGGTGGCTGGCACCATGCGGAGTGTTACATATGAGTGGGTTCAGAACAGGCTCCCTGAGACGTGCCACTTTGGCCTGTGGATTGTTTTGAGCTGAAGGCATTCAAGACCCCGTGGACTCAAGAGAAACTTTTACCTTTCCCTTCAGGAACATAAATTGAAGGCCTTGTCCATCATGAGAGTTATCACTAGAGATAACTTTTATGACTACCTAGAGGGCAGGGCAAACTTCTAATTACTGCCCATCTGCTCTTCTTATCATCCTGCCACTGGCCTTCCTCCCCCTGAAGCCCCGGGCGCCTTATCTCATTCGCCTTAGCTCCGAATGCCTTGTTTACCTTTCTGCCTCTCTCTCTCTTTTTAAAAAAATATATTTATTGATTTTTCACAGAGAGGAAGGGAGAGGGATAGAGAGTTAGAAACATCAATGAGAGAGAAATATCGATCAGCTGCCTCCTGCACACTCCCTACTGGGGATGTGCCTGCAACCACGGTGCATGCCCTTGACCAGAATGGAACTTGGGACCCTTCAGTCCACAGGCCGACACTCTATCCACTGAGCCAAACCGGTTAGGGCCCTTTCTGTCTCTTAACCTCTTGTGAATACAGGGTCTCTGACTCTCTCATGTAGGTGGGGTCCCTATACATATGCATATAATTAAATTTGGGTTATTTTCTCTTATTAATCTGTCTCAACTCAATTTGATTATTGCACCAGCCGAGAGAATCGAAAGCAGTAGAGTAAAATTTCTTCCTTCCCCACACATATCTTCTCACTTAACTGTTATGCCAACCTTTGGATGTACCTACTTCGTTCCCGTTTCATAGATGAGAAAATTGAGGCCCTATGAGGTGACTAGATCTTGCCAACTGAGATCCTAGGAGGTAAAGTTGGAATTTAAGTGCAGACCCATCCCGTTCCAGCACTCAAGGCTCTAGAGAGCGGTCCCCGTTTTCCTGCTCTCCCCGCCATGTCTCCTTGCAGGGATCCTCACTCCGGCCCTCTTTGGCTTCTTCTTCCTCTCTACTCTTCTCCACTTCTAAACACCTCCTCCTTTCTTAGGCAGCAGTCTACCTGTCTCTTGGTTCACATATAAACACACAATCCATATATGTCTGTTAAGGACTTGCACAAGCCCAGGTACCCACCGCCTGAGAATGACAATGCCACCAGCTTTTCTGTGTGTTTTTTAAACTTTTCTTTTAAAATATATTTTATTGATTTTTTACAGAGAGGAACGGAGAGGGATAGAGAGCTAGAAACATCGATGAGAGAGAAAGATCGATCAGCTGCCTCCTGCACATCTCCCACTGGGGATGTGCCCACACCAAGGCACATTCCTTGACCGGAATCGAACCTGCGACCCCCCAGTCCGCAGGCCGACACTCTATCCACTGAGCCAAACCGTCCAGGGACAATCCCACCAGTTTTGTTGAAGCTTGATCTGCACCTCCCTGGTGGCCCCCAGAGAAACGACCACCCTGAATTTTACACTCATCAATGCTAGATTTTCTTTGCAGTTTTACCACCAATGAATACACCATTAAAAGATTGTGTTGGCTTTTGCCTGTTTTTGACCTTCACACAAATAGAAGCTTATGATCTTTCTACTACACTTAGCGGGAAGTGGCATCCTGACCCACAGTTTCTCCATCATCTCAGGACTGAGGCAGCCTGAGAACGGGAACGAAGTAGGTAACAGAGGGTGAGGGTGGGGACTGTTTCCCCCTGAAATGGAGCCTTCAGGTCTAATTAACTGTGTTCCTCTAGTGTGGAAAACGGTGCTCTGCACAGTTATCAGATGTGCAACCTGGCATCAGAGGACCTGAGCTTGAGACCAACACCTACCACCCTCAGCTGTGTGACTTTAGACAGATTATCTTCTGCGTCTCTTCATCCATAAATTAGGAATAAAGATTCCTAACTCACAGGACTCGCGTTAAGGAATGATTTTTTCAGAAGAGTGTCAAGCATTTGAAAAAATATTTTATGTCATGAGGGATCTCAGAGTAATTTGTTAAGAAGTGAGGGCCTGGCCCTGACCGGTTTGGCTCAGTGGATAGAGCGTCAGCCTGCGGACTCAAGGGTCCCAGGTTTGATTCCGGTCAAGGGCATGTACCTTGGTTGCGGGCACATCCCCAGTAGGAGGTGTGCAGGAGGCAGCTGATCGATGTTTCTCTCTCATAGATGTTTCTAACTCTCTATCCCTCTCCCTTCCTCTCTGTAAAAAATCAATAAAAAACATATTAAAAAAAAAAAAGAAGTGAGGGCCTGAACATGTTGATGAGAGGATGTCCTAGAAGTCAGGGTTGTGGGGTCAGGGGTCAGGCTAGTGCCAGCTTGGGGCTGTCTTGGTTATACTGAGCGGGCAGTTCTGACAGGCAGACAGCAGAAGGAGGAGCCCCCAGCCCACACAGGCCTTGCCTTGTGGTCTTCCTTGGGTCCACTCAGCCCTCTGCTCTGCTCTTCCCACTCTCCCCAGGTGATTTCATTCAGTCTTCTGGCTGCAACTACCATCTATTCGCCAGTGACTCCTGAACTCACATTTGCAGGCCTGGTCCCCTCCTGAGGTCCAACTTGCTCCATCTTGGTTGGTGCCTTAGACCAACTCAATCAAGAGAGGGAACAACTGAACTCCCCACTCCCTTCCATCCCCATCTTGTGCCTCTTACTGTGTTCAAAGAACCACAATCCTTCAGTCCCCCAAACTGGACATCAGGGAGTCATTTTGAGACTCTCTCTTCTTTACGCCTCAGGTCCGACTGATTCCAGCACTCTCACATTTGTACCCATGTCCACTGCCTATGCAAGGGCTTTTGATGGAAGGGTCTTACCCACTTGGGGCTACTTTGGCAGTTACAGGGTCATTTCTTGGCTGTTGCTATTATTCTGGGGTCTCTAGGGGAGAATAAGATGACCCTTTCCACTTATCAAAGGAAAATGTGACTCATTTGACCTGAGGACTGAATATTTTCAATATCAAACATTCTGAAAATGAGACCTTTTAAATCATGAAAACTCTCCTGTGAATAGAGTGAATCACTGGCCTTAAACCTACATTTCAACTCTCAGGGTTTTCATCAGATAATCTGAGGATCAGGAACAAAGTGTGGAGTTAGTTTGGAGAATTTCTTTATTTCAGCAGCCACGTCAGACCATTCTGTTCTGTAGCACATCAAAGCTAGCTTATTCCAGTCTTATCTCTGTGATTCAGTTCACGGTGTTTAATAGTGTCCCAAAGAAGCCCTGAATGTCAACAATAAAAAGTCACAAGGCCTGTGTCTGAGCACACGGGGCTGTAGGCCATGGGTCTGGCAGCAGCGTGACTGAATCAGTCCTGGCCTCTGAGAAGCACATGTGTCCCTGGAGCCACAGGGCCCTCTACCAAATGGTGTCCTTTACTCCTTATCCATTTTTTCCCCCGCCATTTCCACCCCTGCCTGCAGGGAGCAGGTTTGGGTGCTCAGTGCAAGACTGTAGCCCAATTCTCAGCCCCACAGGAGGGGTCCCCCATCAGGTCCTTGGCCTGACAGTTCCTTGACCTGCTCAGCATCCTCCTCCTTCATTTCATTTCCCTGCAGCCACCTGCTCTGGGCCATCACTGCAGACCTCATTATTACCTGGGGCTATATCACCTCAAAATCCTAGACTCAAATATCCTACTTTCCCAGCTCTACCTTCTATTCTTCTAGTTTTCTCACTCATTCACTCCCACTAAACCTCCTTCATCCCTACAAAATGTGCTCCTGATCACCACTCAGCCCTCAGTCTCCCCTTCTATCTGTCAAGTCCATTCTGACCCCACTCCCTCCCTCCCCAGACTGGGCCTCAAGCAAGCACATGAACCACACCTTCAGTTCTTTGCTTCTTTGCCCTCACTACCCAACCTATCCAGCAAACCCCAACTCTGGACCCCTCCAGCTCTTCTGCTTTCTGCTTCCAGTCACACTCAGCTGGAAGAAACCACACCACTAATTATATTGATGCCCAACAAATATTTAAATGGTTTCCATGGAGCCTGAGCAGTGTCACCCTGGGACAATCCTTTCTCTTTCCTGTGATCAGTTTCATGCCCGTTTCCTTTTTCAATAATTCCAAGTCTTTTCTTTTCTCCCCCACCCCCTTTTTTTTAAAAAAAAAAAAAATTTCACAGAGGAAGGGAGAGGAAAACAGAGATTGAAACATCAAGGATGAGAGAGAATCATTGATCAGCTGCCTTCTGCACGACCCCTACTGGGGATTGAGCCTGCAACCTAAGCATGTGCCCTGACTGGGAATCTAACCATGACCTCCTAGTTCACAGGTCAATGCTCAACCACTGAGCCTCACCTACTGGGCCCAAGTCAACTTTAAGCCTCAAACCAAATTCCTGCCAGAAGATGAGACATGTTCTGTTATTTCATAATTCAATTAAAAGCCACTGGTTGGAACTCCCTGCACTTCCTGTGGTCCAATTCCCCGCTTCACATCCTCGAAGACAGCCTCTGCCTTCAAGAGGCTTACATTCCAGAGCAGCTAGACATAAAACATGACTCAATGACAGAAGCAGGGTGGAATGGATGGGTATGAAAACACAGAAAAATCCAGAATAAGAAGCCTCAGATTTGTTGGAAGACTAATGAAAGAAATTCATAGCTGAAGCTTCTGAGCTGTGATTCATTATCTCCCTCTTCATAGTGCTTCCTCTTAATGGCACTGACATCCCTTTGTTCCCCATTTAAAAAAATGTGGTAAAATATAACATAAAATTTACCATTTTAACCACTTTTAATTGTATAGTTCAGTGGCATTAAATACATTTGCATTGTTGTGCAATCATCACCACCATCCAGAACATTTTTTCCATCTTCCACAATGAAAACTCTGTGCCCATTTATATATATAAAAGCCTAAGTGACCATTACCACTGGTTGACCGCTCAACCGGTTGCTATGACACGCACTGACCACCAGGGGACAGATGCTGAACACAGGAGCTGCCCCCTGGCGGTCAGTGCGCTCCCATAGTGGGAGTGCTGCTTAGCCAGAAGCTGGGCTCACAGCTGTTGAGTGCAACTGTGGAGGCAGGAGCCTCTCCTGCCTCCATGGCAGCACTACCCAACAGTGGCAGTGAGAGGCGCAGTGGGGCCGGAATGAGCAGGAGTGGCGTGGTGCCTGGCCTGGGCTCAAGCTCCTCCCTGCCATCTGCTGCTTCATGCACTGCTACATCCCCTCAGGGGTCCCAGATTGTGAGAGGGCACAGGCCAGGCTGAGGGACCCCACTGGTACACGAATCCATGGACTAGGCCTCTAGTTAAATAATAATGGCACTGCCATCTTTTTATTCACCCAAGCCAGGGACTCTGGGTGACATTCTAGACTCCTTTTTTTCCCTTAGCCCCAAATTAAATCTAGCACCTGGCCTAGCTGATTTCACCTCCTACACATCTCTCATCTGTGCAGTTCCAATAGCATCCTAAATGATGTCCCTGACAATCGTCTTGTTCATCTTTCTCTCCAGTTGTGGAAGGACAAATTCCAGACTCTGGATCTTGCCTCTCAGTTTGTGAATTCTATCTCTGATTACATCCTCACATACCCTGGATAGGTGCTACTCACAAGTCCACATGCTGTCTCACATCTCTGTACCTTTATATTTGGGGGCCTCCCAGCTTGAGCTAATGTTCTTTTCCTTGTCCACCTGAAACACTGATCATCCTTTAAGACCCAGGTTAAGCATCCTCTCTTTCCTGAAACCTGCCTTGCTCCCCATGCCCACTTTCCCAATCCTTCGGATACTACTGAACATTTCCCGGTGGTTGCTTTCGTTATACTTTTATTTTATTCCTTATCATAATGTTTCTGTCTATTTCCCCTTGAATGAAGGGAAAGGACCATGTTGAACCCATTGCTGTACAGTGCTTGGCAACAAGGCTGGCATGTACTACTGTTGTTCAGGTTGTGCCCTGAGGCAACCAGCAGTGGCTGAGATCCAGCCTTTATTTGCCAAGCTCTGCACCCGGACATGGGGCAACCTGCCCAGTGGAAGGGGTGCCTTATTCTAAGGCACATAAAGCAGCTGTATAGGATAGCAGTGCCTCTGCCTGTCACTTAGTAAGGGTTCTGTCCTAATGTTACTGTCCTTTCTCTCTGTGCCTTCTTTGCTCCTCCATCAGCTAATGCCACTGCTCTTGGGAGTGTGATTGAGTGCCATCCTAGTCTTCAGACTCTAGACTCCTCTGGTGCCACGAGGGCATGGAGGCCTCAAGGGGCATCCTTCCTGGGAGGAGAGCTCCCCTTGGCTCCTCTTCTGTAGAGATTCTGGTTTGCTTCTGGGGTGAGGGTGGAGTTCTTTGCTAAAACTAAACACAGTACATTACAGGCATTACAGTCTCTTATGAATTAAGTAGCACCTAAGACTGTAAAGCCTATACACCTCATGGGGCTCTTGTTGTGAGGGATAGCAAACACAGCAGGAGCCCACTTTCCTCCCTTTCCCTGACTGTGACAGCCAACTACAACATTGCCAACCAACTACAACACTGTCACATGTGGATGTCCCAGAGTCCTACACAGAAGGGCACTAATTATTGGAATTGGCACTTAAAGCAAAACATTTCTTATCTTCAATCAAACCCAACTCCTTATTTTATGAATGAAGTGAGAACCCTTATCCTCCATGACCCTCATTCCTTAACTCTGTCCCTCCATCTCCAGTTAAACATGGCCTGGGATGGTTCTCACTTACCATTTCATAAACACTTTTGACTGGCCCCTTTCCTGGGAGTCTTTCCTCAGCAGTCCCGTTCTTTAGAATCAAGCTCTAGACACCTTAGCACTAAGAACCATAACGTATTTCACTTCAGAGAGCTGCTTCAGTTTCCTCACTCATTAGGTGAAGAATTGAGATCTAGAGATTGAAGAGAAGTGACCTGTCTGAGATCTCAGGGCAACTTAAGGCCGAGCTGGGTCAAGTCCAAATATTCCAACTATCAGGCTATGGCTCTCTCCACTATACCTCTTTGTGGCTAGTGTTCAATTTTTATTAATACTTACTTCATGCAATGAGTCATAGACTTTGAAGTTAGAAAGAATCTTATACAGTATCTTTTCCAAACTTCCTCAGAAGAGAGAAGTTCCTTTCTCTGTAATTCATTTTTATGTGAGTGTATTAAAATCTAGAGAGTTTAGGAGGCAGGAGATGGGTTTGGTGGAGAAACACGGAATCTCTACCAGTTGCTGCTCATCCACTACCTGACTGAATGAGTTAATCTCATTGTGGACCAAACCCTTGCCCTGGAAGTATCACGCATTAACTGACTATTTGCTTTAGGGCTCTAGGCTCTCCCTCTCAAGGGACTGCTTCCTTTATGCTTTAGGAGACACACAGTCATCCACAAGAAATAATAAAGGAATAGAGCAAGACCTACAAGCTAGAGAGATATTTTTCCTCCATCTCTTCTTTCTAACCTTTTTATTTGGCTACTACAAATAAAACAGATCAGAAACAAAAACAGACTTGCTGAATACCTTTTATCCTAAACACAAATGTAGTGAACTTATGGTTAGACTTCTGGGAACTATTTTTAAAATTTGATCCCAATTTTTAGATTGTGCTTATAAATGGTTGACTTGTCTAGTGGATGGATGAGAGAATGGAACTGATAAGCCTTAGAAGATTATCCTGTGATGTTTTATATGACAGAAAGATGCACGTTAGCCTCATTAGGCAACAGGTCAAACCCTTTACCAAATAGTTGGTCTACTGAGGTATCTTTGCCCTACTTCTTTCTCAAATGCATCTGTCATTACGTAAATCCTGAAGTCTACCCAAGTGAATGCGCTGGCTGAGCTCTTGAGACAAAACACTGGTATCACAAATTGGACACCTTGTCAGTATCAACATAGGAGTGGCCACTATTTTGATAACCAGTTATCAAGGGCTTAAGGACTCAACTTCTTTCATTCTCTAGCATTCTCTTGCCTGTTCTATTATCTCCATTTTCTTGATGAACTCCAACTTACCTGTCACCTCCTTCTTTTGAATTTCTCCCTGAGGCCCTGGGATGGAGTTAAACTCCTTTGATGCCATCACAGAACTTTTTACATAACTCTAACATGTTACCTTTGAAATCTTTGAAGCTACTCTTTTGTTTGTAGAACTTTCCCCCACTAGGCTGAATTTATCACCAGAGTCCATGGTTTAGTCACATTTGTAACTCCAGTGCATAGTGAAGTGCCTGGTACTAAGTCAGCACTGAATAAATAGTGTTTGAATGATGCATGAATGAATAAGTGAGTGAAAGAGTGGTCTGATACAAATGGTCTTTCAATCCCTCTCATCTATCTGTTCTATGATCATAGTTATTCTTACTGATACTCAGCACCGTGCAGTAGGAAAGAGAAAGGAGGGAGGCAAGCTCATCCTACAGGATGTTTTTCTCCCCCTTGGAGACCGCATAACTGTAAATCACCTCCTCCTTTTTTTAAAGGAAATGTAGTCACTGACTGCACAGGTGTGCTAACTCCTCATCCAGGTGAGTGAGCTCTAGTAGGCTAAGGTAAGAACATTTGGAAAACTGGATAAAGCATGATAAGAAAGTATTATCACTTAATATTACTACATATTTTTTTTTCTCTGTCAGAGAAATACAGAAAAGCACTGATTTATCCAAGGCATTGGTATACCATTTTTCTCTGAATATCTCTTCTACCCCATTGAGTTAAATATTTGAAGCCAGGACAGCTCAAGATCAAGTCTACTTATTTGCTTTCTTATTTTAGAGGCTGACTTGTGTAAAAGGGTGTTATTGATGAAAATCTTAGGGCTCTCCAGCGGAAAATAAAACTGTATACATTGAAAAAGCAGTCAAATAGCCCATAAACAAAGAACTCCTCTGGGTTCAAATACAAAGATACTCTTATTCTTTTTTATTTTATTTTTTTAAATTAAATTAAAATTTTTCCATTGCCATTTTATCCCCTCTATGCCCTCTTCCACCTCTACCCTCCTCCTTCCCACCCTCACAGGTACTCATTCTTAAAGTGTTAATTCTTTCTTTTGCCCTTCTGGGCTGGACAATCAAGGTCAAATGCAATAATGGGAGCAAGATTTCCATGCCGAACTTCACATGCTTCTTCCCTGTGAGGGGTAGGGTAGAGAGGGACAGCAACAAGCTCTAACGGAAGTTACGCACCTGAAGTCATCCTTGCAGCCCTTCTTGGAATCCCTCAACCCCTTCTTCTCTTGTGGTTGCCCCACCATGAAAACGGTGTCCCTGACGGTAGGGAAATCTTCCAGCAGGGCCCTCAGGCTATTGCAGTAGGCCATGATCTGACCCCGAAGAGCATAGTGAGACATGCGGTGGTTAAATCTGAAAAGTCAGAAGAGATGTCCAGAGGTGAGTCCTTTCTACAGAAGTTCCAGGGTCTACTTTCCTAGACTATCTTTCAAAGAGAATAGAGCACCTCTGTCATGAAGAAACATCTGTCTGGGTCATACTGCTACTGCATGAAGGCAAAGGCATGGGCCCCTTCAAAGCATCTCCTGTCCTTCACTTCTCATGCTCCTTCTTCCGCCTGTCAGGGGTCAGCTTGATCCTATCTAATAGGATCGTGGCTCAGATAAAACAAACCACCTCACATCTTGGAGAATTTCTACATAATTCTGATGTTCATTGAATTCAGAGTCAGAGAAATCAGCATGTGTAGTTCCCATGTACTACATATCCTATACTTACTTCTGACAATATTCCACTATTACTTCTCTCTTGGTTTTCTCAATTTCATCCTGTAATAAAAGAAGATGATAGTTCTTCTATTAGACAGTTGGTTATAAACACTCTCCAAGCAAGTATCTATGTAGAAACTGAGAGCAAGCTTAAAGCAGAAAAAGGCCACACTGTTGAGAAACTCTTCCTGAAGGTCAACTTATTGGGAAACACTCCTCCAGGGGTGTCTCCCACTCCCTTACATTTTGCTGAGTGAGCGAAGAAGGCAAGGCCCTGACCACTCTTTACGGGGGCCATTTCTAAGGGTTGTGTTTGCAGAAAGAAGTCTTAAGGGATGAGGTAATGCCTCCCTCCAGGAAAAAGAGCAGACTTGCTATAAAAGAGGTGGATTCCTCCAAACTCAGTATTACTCAACTGTGACAAACACCCACTGCATGCATCCGGGCTCCAATGTTGCTCCCGTGGCCCTTGGGGAACCAAGGGAACTGACACAGACACAAAGCCCATGTTGCCTGCTCTGCTATGAGTAATGAAGTTATTTTGTCTCTTAACCAGGAGTCTTGTGTCTTCTGCCAGCCTCCACAAAACAGGCACAGGTTAATGTACCAGCTTGTAAATAGGCTAAAACCCCAGACTTTGGCAAAACTGACAATTTCTTGCCTGAGCCCTTTCTAATCTGATCAGCATTGAATAATCCTATGAACAGTTAATGAGTTATTACATTTTCCACTTGGTCAATATTTTTTTAATATTATAGTAAAAAACTAATTTAATATCTCAGTGACTTATTAAAAGGAGTCCTTTCTCTCCATTATTGGTCAGTAGTAAACTTGAAATCTGGCCTCCCTCACATCCCAGTTGGATTAGGTAAATTTAGGCCTTTTGTTTTCAGTCACAGGTAGGGGAAAAGCCTAGAGATTGTAAATGTGTTTTACTTGAGCCATGATCCTATTAGAAAGATTGCCATTTCTTTTCCAAACATCGCTGCATCGACCTAACGATTCCCTCATCAAAAAATTAATAAATAATGAAATGATATTCACAAACTTAAGCAATACTTTTAACTGTTTAAAGACTTGCGCTTTATAAATATGTTTTCGAGAGATTGGGCCAGTATAAAACCCTTTAATAGGAACAAGGTGACCATGCCTGAAAAAACATGATAGCAGGTGAATCAGATGGCAAGAGTCTTTGTTCGCCTTGTCTAAACACCCTAAGCACCGGCAGGTCTCTTAGGAACGGGCAAATGTTCCAGAGCGGGTGCTGAAACTAGTTTCATTTAGAAAGTGACAGAACGAAATGTGACCTTGGGAAAATGCACGTATTTTAAAAACCAGACTGCAGTTGGCTTGAATGGCTTCCTTCGTATTTCTTATTGAGCTCCCTTTTTCAGTTCTTTATGTTTTCAATGGTCCTATCCAAATAGGCTGAATGCAACAGGCTCTAAGTTAAGAATTTTTATTTGCTCAAATGTAAAAGATGACATGAGAGCTTTAGGGGGCTCTTTTTACTATACTCACGAGGTTCATTGAGTCAGCCATGGCTTGTTTCCTGAGGAGGAAGGCATTCAGCATCATGTCCCGCAGTCCCACCTTTTCCAATTGAATAGACACGAAAGCCTCCGGAGCCCTGACGAGTGAACAGAGACATCTGAGCCCAAGGCAAGTGGCCATATAGCAAGGAGACAACTCGAGAACTCTCTGAAGGACAGGGACACCTGAGGCTGCACATTGGGCGCTGCAGCAGAGGAGCTGGTGGCTCTGTCTTCATAGTCCCCGGCTGCTTCCCGTGCGGATGTGTCTTCCTCCTCTTCCTCGGGACTCATGTGCCCGAGGCACGCATTGGCAGTCCCGAACCTCACAGCCTGGCCCAGTGTTTGTACTATCCAGGTCCCTTTGTGTCCTCCAGGCCTCATGTGTAGGGGCACCTGGACTGAAAGGCCCTCCCAAGGGTCTGCTGGACCAGACACATTGATCATAAATCTTCCACCCACACATTGGGAGTGTGGATTTACGGCACCTGAACTCTGGCCATATGTCAGATTAATGGCATCTTGAGAAGTAGAGTAGCTTTGCCTGTTGTTGTTTGTTGTTTTTTCCCCCATCTTAAATTTACCAGAATTAAACTAGAATATCATTGGTATGCCCCAATGAAATATTCAGAGTATTTAGAATTATTGCAGAATACAAATATCTCTCTCTGTCATGGTGAGGAGAAATCAAGACATAATAGGGCATCCCTGCCTCATAGACATATCTTTTTAGAGATTGTGTCTCTTTGACAACACACCATTCTATTATTCTAAGCAAAGACAAAACTCTTGTTAGAATAGTAAGGATAGGTCTGTACTTCTCACTAAGAGACATGGAAAATTTGGAGAGGCCAATATTCTTTGTTCTTGTGTTCTACACTTTTTAAAGTTTGAAAAATGTAGAAAAAGGGAGGAAGGAGAGGGAGGGAAAAGCAAGAGAAGGGAGGAGAGGGAAGAAGAGAAGAGAAAAGAGGTTGTAATTAGGAACTGTTAACTCTCCTTCATAGACTGGAGTATATCAGAAGGAATGAGCCTTCTCACTGTTCATACAAGGTTCAATATCAAACACATGCTGGTCACTCTGGGAGTTTAGTCATTCTTCAGTCCCATAACACTCTGTTCTTAACTGACTTAAAAGAGGACACATTTATGTTAATCCTGCTTCCCTCTGATACAGTACCTTTTGATAGCCTTGGATCTTTCTGAAGGAAGAATAAAGGTGTCTGGAAGTTTCGGAGTTGGGGCCAACAGCAATCTCTCTATGCCATTTACAATTCTGGAATTTCTTCTGGTTGGACCCATTCCACCATCATTTTTCAGATCTGAACGTATTTCCTAAAATATTTCAAACCAAAGTGAATCCAAATTGTTGGATTTATATGTCCCATGGTACTGGCTATAAAATTATCTCACAGCCACAACTGACCACAAATACATGTAAATGACTGGATACCTGGGGAAGGGGTGGGAATGGAGAGAAGGGGGAGGGGAAGAAAGTATAGAGAGTAAGGGAGGGAAGGGAAGGGAGCTACTAGTTTGCACAATAAAGGGGTGAGGCACTAAGAGTAACTATTTCCAGAATAGAACACAATTATCTAAAGTGCTCCGACAAAAATTCTCCATTCCACAGGTGGCTAGTGGAGTGCTCCATCAGAGGGGCCTCTCAAGAAATACTGCTGATGGGCTTCATGGCTGTGAGATCTGAGAACTTGTTTCGCGTGCCCATTCTGGTAGAGTCTAAGCAGATGGAGGTGGGCTATATATGCTGCCATGCACCATGCAATGATGAAGGAGGGAGAGGCGGAGGGAGGGCGGGGCAAGGACAAGGAAGATGGAGAAAAAAAAAGGGAAATCCATATTTTTCAATACTCCTATTGGTTATGGAGCTCTTGGGCACAATGAATGGAATTCTTTTACATTTTTCCTAAAATACTGACTAAACACAAGCTCTGCAATCAGGTCGCAGTGCTGACACGCTTGTGATCTTGGTTCTGTCCTTAACCTTTCAGAAAAGGGGATGATATTCCCTATCGCATGGGGCTGTTGAGAGGATTCCACGAACCCATGTATATTCATCACTTAGCGCACTGCCTTGCCTGGACCACAGAAGCTTCTGAATTGAACTGTTAACTCTCTGACTCCCCCACCTGCCTTCAACAGCCCACCATGCCCATCTTTCATTTCTTTCTTTTTTATATATAAAATATTTTTATTGATTTCAGAGAGGAAGGGAGAGGGAGAGAGAGATAGAAACATCAATGATGAGAGAGAATCATTGATTGGCTGCCTCTTACGCACCGCACACTGGGGATCGAGCCTGCAATTTGGGCATGTGCCCTGACCAGGAATCAAACCATGACCTCCTGGTTCATAGGTTGAAGCTCAACCACCGAGTCATACCCACTAGACCCATCTACATTTCTATCCTCAATTGCTTCCTCTTTTCCAGCTCCTTCCTACAAATATATTTATATCTATTTTATTCTTAATTATCTTGCCCCCTCAAACTTCCTCTGCAATTCTGACCAAACTTCTTAAAGAACTACTATGGACTAAATGTTTGTATCTCTCCCTAACTTCTTATGTTGAAGCCCCATTCCCCAATAAGATGGTATTTGAAGACATTTGAAGATAGTATTGGAAGGTAATTAGGGTTAGGTAAGGTCATAATGGTGGGGCTCCAATCTGATAGGGCTGGTGCCCTTCCAAGAAGAGAAAGACACAGAGTTCTCTCTCTTTTGCTGCCACGTGAGACCACAGTGAGAATTCAGCCGTCTTCAATCAAGGAAGAGAGCCCTTACCAGAAGCTGACCATGCAGGCACCTGGATCATGGATTTCTGGCCTCCAGAATTATGCGAAAATAAATTTCTGTTGTTTAAGCTAGTCCATGGTATTTTGTTTTGGCAACCTGAGCTGACTAATACTGGAGCAGTAAATATACACCGTGTTTGTATTTTTGTCACCTTGTCGCTCCTTAACACTGGCAGTATGCCTTCACTCCAACTCCATCAGAGCTGCTCTGTCAGTCAGCAGTGAGCCTTGGAGAATGTCAAAGGGTCTCATTTTAATCCCTACTCTCTGGTTCTTCCCTCTAGACTTAACTCTATCAACTTTCAACTTTTTCTTCTTTCTTCTTCTTTTTAAAAAATAATAGCTTTGCCTGGTTTGTGTGGCTCAGTGGTTGAGCGTCGACCTATGAAGGATTCTCGGTCAGGGCACATACCTAAGTTGTGGACTTGATCCCCAGTGTGGGGTGTGCAGGAGGCAGCTGATCAATGATTCTCTCTCATCCTTGATATTTCTATCTTTCTCTCCCTCTGAAATCATTAAAAGTATATTTTAAAAATAATAGCTTTTTTTTTAAAAAAATAATAGCTTTATTGAGGTACAATTGACATTCAATTAACAGCACATATATGAAGTGTTCAATTAGAGAAGTTTTAGTATATGTGTGCAACTGAAACCATCGCCACAGAAAAATAATGACCATCACCATCCCTCCCACCCACCCCCTTCCTCAAGTAACCGTTGTTCTGCTTTCTGCAACTATAGATCAGAATGCATTTTCTAGAACTTTATATAAAGGGGGTTATGCAGTATGTACTCTTTTTTGTCTGGCTTCATCCATATTATTGTGTATATCAATAGATCATGTCTTTGTATTGCTGAGTAGTATTCCATTGTATGAATATACCACAATTTGTTTATCCATTCATCTGGTGATGGGTATTTGGGTTCTTGCCAGTTCTTGGCTATTTTAAAATAAAGCTGCTGTAAACATTTGTGTATGTCTTTATATGGACATGTGCTTTCTCTTTAGTAAATACATAGGAGTAGACTGGCTGGATCATCTGGTAAGCATATGTTTAATTTTTTAAGAAAGTGCTAAAACTATTTTCCAAGATGATTGACCATTTTGCATTCCCATGAGCAGTGTATGGGAGTTCTAGATATGTCTCATCCTTGCCAACACTTGGAATGATCAGCCATGTAAAAGTTAACCATTCAAATGGGTGTGCAGTTATTTTTCACTGGGGTTTTACATTTATCTAATAACTAATGGTTTTGAACTCCTTTTTTATGTGCTTATTTGTCATCTGCACATCTTAGATGACTCATTTCTTCTTGAAACATTTCTCTCCTTCAGCTTTGGTAGCAATGCACAATTTTATTCTGTCTCTGTCTCTTTCCTTTTTTACCCCCCTTTCCTCCCTTCCTCTTGGTCCCTTTCGCTGTCTTCATCATTTATTCCTCCTTATTATCTCATTAGCCCTCTTCTCGTCCCACATTCGTAGGAAAGCATATAAATACACATACACATATATTCATGTATACTTACATATAAATGTATATTTTACCCTAATGCCTCCTTACCCCTCCCAGTGCTGTAGGTCTTTCCAGGCTATTACTCTTCATGCCCTCCCTGGCCTGCCCTGTGCTCCCATCTAGTGCCTTTCAACATTTGCTCCCTGGGTGGATCTCAGGAAATAACTCATAAACCTTTCAATCTCCCTGGCAATCATAACAACCCCACTTATACCTGTTTAATCATTGGTATTCCTCATAAGATTAAATTAATTAAATAAAGGAATCTATATGTTAACTTCATATGAAAACCACAAGTGGTGGTCAAACCAGCTCATTTTCCCCTAGTCCCCATCTGCCCTTTCTTGCTTCCATGCCTGGGTATCTGAAGGGACTCCTCTCTACTCAGAATGATCACATGGTCATCTCTGCCTATCAAAAAGCTCATCCCCCAGGCTTTCCCAAATGCCTCCTCTCTGTGCTACCCTACTGAGGTGCCCAAATGGGACCTCTTTTTTTAAAAAAATTCTTTTAATAGCTTGTTGAATCTCTTTTATGCCTTGTGCATTTGAACTACTTGTTGGCCGGTCCCCCTTACCTACACTGGCCTGTAAGTTCCTCCGGAGCATGAATTATACCTTAGTATTACCTGATGAGCTCAAATGAACAAATAACAAAAGAAAGAATAGGTAAATTGGATTTATCAAAATGAAAAATTTGTTTCCAAGGGCACCATCACAAAAGTGAGAAGATGGCTCTTAGAATGGGAGAAAATATTTGCAAATATTATACTTGATAAGGGGCTTGTATTCAGATTAAATAAAGAATTCTTACAAGAATGAAAAGACCCAAAAATCCAAATTTGTAAAAGGGCAAAGCATTTGAATAGACATTTCTCTAACAAAGACATACAAATGGCCAATAAGCACATGGAAAGATCCTCAAATCATTAGTAATTAGAGAAATGCTAATGAAAACCATGATGAGATACCATTTACTCCCACTAGCACAGCTAAAATAAAGAAGTGAGACAATAACATGTTCATATTATTATTCATAATAGCCCAAAAGTAAAAACAACCTAATGCTTGTCAACTGATAATGGAGAAACAAAATGTGGTATAGCTGTAGGATATCTTCCATCAGTACAAGGGAATGAAGTACTGATACATGTTCAAACATGGATGAAGCTTGAAAACATAATGCTAAGTAAAAAGAAATCTGACATGAAGTGGCATGTTTTATGATTCCATTTATATAAAATTTCCAGAATAGGCAAAGCTATAGAGACACAAAGCAGAGTCCAGGTTGCTAGGGGCTGAGGGGAGAGGGGAATGGGAGTGACTGCTAATTGGTACAGAATTTCTTTTGAGAGTGATGAAAACTTTTTGGAATTAAGTTGTGGTGATGGTTGCATGATCTTGTGAATTATATGTGGTAAAGGGATAAACTTAATGTAATGTAAATTATCTATATATATAAAAGGCCAAGTGACCGACTGTCCATCCATCCGACCAACTGACTGGCTGGTACCTAGGACGCACACTGGCCATTTAAAAATAAATGTTGAATCGCGCATGCACAATACATATAAAGCTCTTGCTGGCACCAATCACACATACGTGTTTCGATCTGTTATTGTCGATCATGAATTTGATTGACACTTCTATTATAAAGGGCAAATGGCAATAATAAAATATTTTTTCTAATTAATTTCCTTTTAATGTGCACGAATTCGTGCACCGTCCACTAGTATCTCAATAACAATAAAAAAAAGTCAGGAAAAGAAAGAGTATATATTGGGTGTTGACTTTTGTGGAAAAAAGAAGGCATAAATTTGTTAGGTTTGATCAAAGAATTGAATCGATACCCCTCCCCTGGAACTGCCCTTTAGGCCACTTCTCAATGAACATTCCCTTTCGCTTAGACCACTTTCCACTTGCTGAGACCACATTCCACTTGCTAAGACCACATTCCATTTGCTAAGACCATTATCTCTCCCTTCTGGACTGTCCCAGACTCTGGACCTGCACAGAGAATTCTCTGCCCATAAAAAGCCCACCTAGAGTCCTTTAAAACCTCTGACTCCCTACCTTTGGGTGCTGGCACCATTTGGGGACTCAGCCCATCTAGTATCCAGATGACCTAATGAATTTATAATCCCTTACTACTTTGGCCTTGGGTATTCCTCATTTGGCTACCCTAAAAAAATTTTACTTTTGCAAAAAAGAAATACAGGAAGGATAGAACATAAAACAATGGAGTCCTTTATCTACAAAGGACAAAGTTGGATGAAAATGTTATTTTATTCTAGCTAGTCAATATTATAGAGTTACATATAAAGAAAAATTATTAGCAATAAAAGGTAAAAGACCAAGTAAAGATTTGGTCATTTGTTGAGTCACTTTAGAAAAGAAGAAATAAAAGAAAGGCGGGAAGAAAAGAAAATAAAAATACAGGAAAGAAGGAAAAATGGGAGAAAGAGAAGAGAAAGGGGGAGAAGAGAAAGAAGGGAGGAAGGAGAGGTAGGGGTAAAGGTAAGGAGGGAAGTACGCAAGGAAGGAACAGCCTGATGTTAGCTGGTGGATCATGGTAGCATGCCTCAGGCTCCCCTATCTTACAGGCTGACCTGGACATCAGCAGGACATCCCCCTCGGGGAGTGTGATAGAAGAATGCATGCTGGACAGCCACCATCAAAGCATTTTTCTGAGCAGCTTGACATGCAAGAGTCACTTGCATGTTTTCAACTCCCGAATGGAACAAGAGCTACAAAAAGAAAATATAAAAGGTATTAGGAATTTCTCTCATAAAGAAAAGGGTAAATAAACCAGTCAGAGAAAGACAAATATCACATAGTCTCACGCATACGTAGACTCTAATGAACAAAATAAACTGATGAACAAAATAGGTCCAGAGACATAAAAGCATGGAACAGACTGCAGAATCTCAGAGGGCAGGTGGGGTAGGGGAGGGGTGTGGAGAGATTAACCAAAGAATTTATATGCATATATGCATACCCCATCGAATATAGACAATAGTGTGGTGAGGGTCTGGGGGGGGGTGGTATTAGGGGGAGGAGAGTCAATGGGAAAAAAGGGGGACATATGTGATATTTTTAACAACAAAAATAAATTCTTTAAAAAAAGGAAAAACTAAAGTTGAGGGTTGAGATCACCACTTATGCAACATCCTATATAATAAAGACTAATATGCAAATCGACTGAACAGCGGAAAGACTGGTCGCTATGATGTGCACTGACCATCAGGGGGCAGATGTTCAACGCAGGAGCTGCCCCTGGTGGTCAGTATGCTCCCACAGTGGGAGTGCTGCTTGGCCGGAAGTTGGGCTCTGGCGAGCACAGTGGTGGTGGTGGGAGCCTCTCCTGCCTCCGTGGCAGTGCTAAGGATGTCTGACTATCAGCTTAAGCTGTCAGTCAGACATCCCCCAAGGGCTCCCAGACTGCAAGAGGGTGCAGGCTGGGCTGAGGGACGCCTCCCCCCAAGTGCACGAATTTTGTGAACCAGGCCTCTAGTGTATATATAAAAGTCAAACTGCAGGATGAGCTGAGATCCTTGTTCCTCAGTCACAGGACTGAATCTCCCTAAGCAGCATTTCATCCAGGAAGGCAGCCCCAAAGCTTGATGTGCTCTGTAGCTGGACACCATCAGGTTTCCCCAAATGTCAGGAAAGGATGAGCAGGCTTTAATGGGTGAGCAAACACGCATAGGGGAAGGCTCTTGCAAAACTGCCAAGATTAGATTTATGTTTAAAAAATACACATACAAATTGAAGCCTGCACAGACACACATAGAAGCAAAGGAAGCTATCCGAGTGACAGGAAAAAAACAGCACCATCTGACTTAAAAAGGTCAGATAAAAGCTCCAATAACAAGCGTATATTTTCAAAAGCTTGACACAAAGGTGGCTCACTACAAGTGCTTCTTTTTAATATCTAATAGAAGGTATTGCAAAGGGTGTTGCAGTCTCTATAGTTCAAACCAGGCCAATGTGCACATCAAATGAGGCAAGGCCTTCATCATTACTTATGAAGTTGGAAGCTTTTCTTATATAAGAGACCCAAACTTATATGGATTAAACATTATGATTTTTAAAGAAATACATGAGAAAATTGCTTAATTTTACTTTAGTTTCTTTAAAAAAATTAAAATAATTTACCTTAAGGATGGCTTCCTTTGTATAAAAACTAAATTTGCCAACTTGGTTATCATCCACCTCAGAGATGGCCAAGACAAGAGAAGTAGGAGAATATCTGCAAGAAGAAACATGTCACTGTTTCAGTCATTGTGCTGTGCCATTAGTCAAGAGATGCCCATTCTGATGGGACAGAATGGCCTGTGATCAGCTCTGGGACATCAGTAGTAACAGCAAGTGCAGATGTTATGCAAGACTTGATATTTCCACTCAAAGACTGAAGGGCTCTGGGGTCTTTTCAGTCCTTATTGGACTTGATCTCCCTATAGTTTCATTGTGGTGACTATCCACCCTGGAGCATTTGAAATTATTTTCTCTTGATCACTATACCACTGTTTTTCTCCTGTTTTTCCGCTTGCCTTCTTGACCTCCCCACTTTGGCATGTGGATTGTCTTGAGCCAAAGGCAATTGAAACCCTGCCGGCTTCCAGAAACTTTTACCTCTCCCTTAAAGAATTTAAATTAAAGGCCTTGTCTATAATAGGAGTTTATCACCAGAGATAACTTTTTATGACTTATAGCTAGGCCAGAGCAAACGTCTAATTACTGAACATCTGAGCATCTGATCTTACTGTCCTGAGAGTGACCTTCCTCCCCGCTGAAGCCCCAACGTGCCTTGCCTCATTCCTTAGCTCAGAAAGTTATTACCTCATTTTTCCTTTCCCCCCTCTGAACCTCTCGTGTATATGGGGTTCCCATAGAACATATATAATTAAATTGGATCATTTTCTCTTGTTAATCTGCCTCATGTTGATTTGACTATTAGACCAGCAGAAAGAACCGAAGAGGGTAGATGGAGGGAAGTGTCTTCCTCCCCACAGCCTCATCTGCTCAGGCCCCTCACGGACTCAGACCCCCTTGTGCACTCCCGAAAAGTTGTCCAGTTCTAACTTTCTCCCATTGCCCTAATGGTCATCTAATATTCTCTGTAACCACGTTTCTGCCTTTGTCCATAACTATGAGACTCTATTATGTAATTTAACATCTATGACTTTTGGTTTCTTTATCTATGACTTTATGTAAATGAGATATCACTTATCTCATATGTGGCTGTGACAAATATTAAGTGGAATCATATGCATGAATGTACTTTTTAAAATGTAAGTCACTATGCTTATGTTTGATATATGTTGCTGTCACAGCAGAACTCCTAAGTGGCAACTTTAAGAAATGAACATATATAAAACAAATGCAAACTCCAGACCCAAATTCCTTGGTTGCATAAACCGTTCTCTAGAATTCAGAGGGTTTCCCAGATCTTGCAGAATCTCTGGGTCATCACTGGGAGGACCATCACTGCTTGGCCAGGACACAGAGCACTTGGGCAACCTGTGCTGTTTGGTTGATTCTGACTGAACAAAATAGGCCCTATTTCACGGCAGTGTAAAAGATCAACTCCAGCAGGAGGCCCTCGAAGAGACAGAGAATAGCTTAGCTCTAGGTTGGAGACTAAACCTTGCCTTCAGCTTCTATGAGATCCCTCTTTATCCTAACAACAAATTCTCTTTTTGGATTAGCTAGTGTGACAGGATAGAGCGGGGGACATTTTGCCTTCAGAGGACAATTGGCAATATCTGGAGACATTTTTGATTGTCACAAATGGGAAGAAGAGGTATTACTAGCATCTGGTAGGTAGTGGTCAGGAGTGCTGCTAAACAACCTCTGATACACAGCCCCCTACAAGAAAGAGTCACTCTGCCCCAAATTTTCATAGTGCCAAGATTGAGAAATTCAGAGACACTGTATTCTATCATCCTAACCCCTCCATTCTACCCATGCTCTCTCTGAGGAAGATGAGTCCCTTAACATATTAATATACTAACATATCCAAGTTGTATTTTGAGCAGGGATTCACATAAGCAGAAACAAGGTGACTTTCCCTCCTTGGAGTCACCCTTGCCTTCCTAGGGTAGGTGGGACCAGGACCAGAAATCTCTAAGGATAGAACTAGGGCCCTCAGTGGGAGGGCAGACTAAGGGGGAAGGAAAGAAGACAAACATTTCTTCTCAGCATACATCGAAGGTGGACTCTTTGAGGGGAAAAAGATCCCTTTCTCGAACTGAATGGATTCATGGTCTGTTAGTGGTAGGAGTGTTTGCTTTCTGCCAATGGGCATGAAATAGAGGTTTCACTGGTTTGAGTCAGCTTCTTTTATTGACCAACAGAAGAACCTGTATACGATATTGCCATACATGTTAGATTTGTACATTGTGTTAGAATTTCGAGGAAACAGTGCTCAAAAACACTTGACTGACTTCTTCCTGGTCCCAGCGGAAGTGAGAGAAGAGACCTGGATTTCTGATCCACGGTTCTTGCCCCACGAGATCAACCCTCACACCCCTTTCTACACAGAAGCAACATAGTCAACCCGGGGAGCTACCTGAGCCTGTGATTCCATCTCATTTGAACTCTCTGATCTGATTCTTCCATTGCTCAGTTACTTGATGTTTTTAAATCAAATTATTCTCCTTGATTGAGACCTTATTTCCCCCTCTTATTAAGAAAAAGGAAGAAAGAAAATAAATGGCATTATGGCAGACAGAATATAAATACAATTAGAAATACAATTGCATTTGCATGTCCAGTGGTGGTAGAAATTGTTTTTCACTAGTTATTCATTCTACCATTACATTATTTTTACTTTGACCCTCTTAAGGCTCACCTGTCTACGCGATCACTGTTCTCCAGCAGAGAGGTGATAAAGACAGGCGGTTGATGATCCACCTTGTCCTTGTGTGTTGCAAACTCAAAGTGAACAGGCCTCAGATGCAAATGGAACTCTCCAAAGCCCATCTCCCACGCCATTTTCTTATAGAGACTAAAAGGGGGGAAAAGAGCCAAAAACATTTACTATTTATTTTCCCCTAAAAGGAAACTAAGTGGTAAGAAAACCAAAACATTAGAATAAGCACAAAAGCAGAAGGCAAAATAAAAGTAACACAAGTAGGGCAGGAAGTGAATGAGTCACAAAGGTCTTCTGTCTGCCCTTTGCCATGACAGTTGAAAATAGAAGTAACGTAGGAGGAGATGTGCTTGGGTACTTCCTTAACTCTCATTTCCTGCAAGCTAGTTCTGTCCTCAGAGTCCTCACCAGATCACCTATATTGCCCTCAATACAAGGTTCATTTTCTTCCCGTGGAGCTCTTCACGACTGGCCTCTGTCCCCTTCTTAAGGAACATTGCTCTCCTGGACCCAGGATGTCCACGCTCCTACCTTGTGACCACTCTCTCTGTCTTCATTTTCTTCTTGTCTTTGTTTTCAAATCCTGGTGTTTCCTGAGGTTCCAAACCCAGTCCTCTTCTCATCTTCTCCATACTCTCCTTGGGGTGTCTGCCTTCCTGCCCCACACCCCAACAGTCCCCTCCAGGGACCCCATCTCCATCTTGCCCAACTCTGCGTTCTACTCCCACGTTTCCACAGCTTGCAGCAAGGCTCCGTTCGGTGTCCCCTGGCATTTCAGCTCTCTGTGTCTAGAACGTCTTCTCCTCTTCTCTCACCCCCATTCTAACACATTTCTCCATCTTGAGAAATTGGCACGTCAAGGCTGAGTTCAAATGGCACCTATATTAGTTCTCTAGGCTGCTGTAACAAAGTACCATAACCTGGGTGGCTTACACAACAGCAATACGTCTCATAGCTCTGGAGGATGGAAACCTGAGGTCAAGGTGTCAGTGGGGTTGGTTCCTTCTGAGGGCTGTGAAGGAAGGCCTCTCTCCTTGGCTTATAGTTAGCCATCTTCTCCTTGTGTTTCCACATTGTCTTCCCTCTGTGTGTGCCTTTGTCCAAATCACCTCTTCTTATAGGGACACCAGTCTTATGGGATTAGGGCCCAGCTCCGTAACTTCATTTTAACGTGATTTCTTCTGTAAAGACCCTATCTCCAAATAAAGTCACATGCTGAGGTACTAGGGCTGGGACTTGAACATATGAATTTGGCAGGGGGGTGGGGGGGACACAATTCATCCCATAACAGTCCCTTTTCTATGAAGCTTTCCCTGATCCCCTTAAATAGAACGAAATACTCCATTTTCTGTGCTCCCATAATATCTTGTTCACATGACTATGGTATATTATCAAACTTCATCAGGGATGACTTTTACATTGTGAGCTCTAAGACTTATGATCAGAAATTATGGGGAAATAATATCATAGAGGTTAATATATATCTTGACTTGTGTTTAAATTTGTATATTCTTCTATAATACTTTCTAGTTATGCCATCTTAGGCAAAGTACTTACCTTTTCTGAGCCTCTACTTCCTCACTGGCAAAATGTTTGAAAGCTACCTCAAAAGGATATTCTGAGAATTAAATGAACGAATACACATGAAGTTCTCAGTACAGACCCAGGCCACAATAGGCCCTCACAAATGGTTGGTGGTAGATGGCTGGACCCTTTGTGTGTACAGGGCCTCTCATGAAGATCAGAACACAGTCGAACTCACACAGGTTTGCAACAAATCCTTTAGTTCCATATTCTTCCTGTGAATGGAACATGTCCACTTGGATATCTTACTATCACCTCACACTCATACCTAACACCTAAGTCATTCATCTTTCCCTCCCCAAAAAAAAACCGGAATGGTGTCACTGCCTCTCCTTTGTCTAGCCCTCTACTATTTCTGCTCTGCTATTCAACTTCATTACAGTCAAGAGAAAAATCCAGTCAATATTTAGAGTGTTGGTGCAGGGCAGGCCTGGCCCCAGGTGATGAGGTACCATGGAAAACAATACACACAGGGTTTTTGTATTCAGGGGACTTCCACTAGCAGGAAAACCAATAAACCAATATGAAGCATCTTATTACACAGTAATGTGCTGAATGGAGAGGAAGGCCAGGTGCTAGGACCTAGCCTAGCTAAGTGGTCAGGGAGGCACATAGGAAGGCCTCGGTGAGAGAAGGAGCAAGCCAGGTGGCCATTTCAGCAATTTAGAAAGTTTCCACAGGCTGTTCGGGGGGCACGGAGGGGGCAAGGCTTGTAGGCAGGAATCCCCGCTGTCTGTAACCCCCCACCAGACCTTCAATGCCCCCACTGACCGAGCCAAGCATGCGCTCTCCACGCTCATTTCTATCAGCCGGTGGCGGAGGGTCACAAGTTCCAGAAGTTTGGAAAACGTCTCCAGGAGCAGCACACGAGCACCTCGGCCTTGGTTCTGTCCTTCGGCTGCTGCAGACTTAAGTGCAAGCAGGCCTATCTCCTCCACAAGAAAGGGATCGCCCATCACCTTCGCTGAAAGCAGCTGAGAGAAAACCAAGTATTTTGAAAAAAAAAAAAAATATATATATATATAAAAGAAATATCACATATTAAGAAAAATGCTATTAGTAGCACAGATTCTGGATCCAGATTTTCTGGGCTCAAATCCTGGCTCTGCCACTTAAAATCTGTGAGATTTGGGGCAATTTACTCTATTGTGTTGTCTCTTAGTTTCCTCATCTGTAAAGTGGGGATAATAACAGTACAAAATAGGCACTAATAGATACTAAGTAATCACCTAGAAGGGATGTTAAGAGGCTTAAGTAAGTAGCTGTGAAAATGCCTGGTACATTGTATTTGTTGTTATTATTATAAATGTTTTAAGCCAAAATAAAGAATAGAAATGACAAAGACTACCTAAATAGAAATAGCAGTCCTGATATCTGTCAAATATTTTATGGCCAATAATAATAATTTCTTATAAGCCCCTCTGATCACCTCTCAACAATTCAAAGTATTTTAACCAACATTAACTCGTTTATTTTCACAAGATCCCCATAAAATGGGCGTCACAGATGCCATGATTTCCATTTGATCTGTGAGGGTCTGAAGCAACACTGGAACTTTCTAAGTGTCACACAGCAACACCAAGAGTACATTCAGGCTTCCTAATCCCAAGTTAAGCCTTTTTATAGGACACTAAAACGCCTTTATTTTTTTTATATATACTTTAAAAAGTATATATATTTTTATTGATTTCAGAGAGGAAGGGAGAGGGAGAGAGAGATAGAAACATCAGTGATGAGAGAGAATCACTGATTGCCTGCCCTCTGCATGCCCCCCACTGGGGATCAAGCTCGCAACCAACCGGGGCCTGTGCTCTGGGAATAGAATCATGACCTCCTGCTTCATAGGTTGAAGCTCAACCACTGAGCCACACCCACCCAGCTAACCTGCCTTTACAGCGTTCCTCCACTCAGAGCCAACCCTGGGCAACTTGTGAAATAATCCCATTGTTTTTAATGCCCTCCTGTTGTGGTCAGTTCCTCTACTCTGACACCTTTGCTACTCTTTAATATACCACTCCGCAAGGACCCAGTTTCAGGACCCTGATCTGCCTTTCCAAGTTTGGCTCCCTGAGCGTGTACGAACTCCCCTATCCATCCATTTATCTACCAAAAGCCTTGTCTACTCAAGGATGCAATTTCTAGACTCTTGAAGTCTTCCAAAAGTGATTAAGAATGTTATTAAACTAATTCCTACATGTCCTCTGAGGGTAATATGTGCCCTCTTTTCTGGCCTAATACAAAAGTTTAATTTGAATATTTATCATTTCTAGATCCAAATTTGAACACATTTCAAAAGTAATAATTATTAAAACTGGGAGCCTAGACAAGTATCTTAGATATGTACTATGATTTATAAGAGAATTTAAAATACATTTTAAAAATCTGGTACCATGCCCTGGCAGGTGAGGGTCAGTGGTTAGAGAGTCAGCCTGTGAACCAAAGGGTCATTAGTTCAATTCCCAGTCAAGGGACCATGCCTGGGTTGTGGGTCAATCCTCAGCCCCAGTTTGCGGGGTGGGGATTACGGGAGGCAACCAGTCAATATGTCTCTCTCATATCAATGTTTCTC